GACTGCAGTTCGCGTCCCGGACCCGGTGGCTTAAAACTCACACCGGGCGCGTGTGCGTGCGTGCCCAAGATTCCGAGAGGAGAATGGAGGAGAAGGGATTGCGGTGTGACCCATTGCCCCTGGGGGGTGATTTCTCGCTTTCTGTCTCTATGTCTCTCTCTGTCTGTCTGGCGAGCGCACGCGCCCTATAGCGAAAACTTCTCCAAAAAATACATATATATATATATTTAGTACAGAATGTATTTAATGGGTATGCTGATTTTAAGGGAAAGAACCATTTTCTACAAACATTAATTTATATATTATGACATCATTTCAAGTGGAGTAAAATATAAAATAATTGAACTTTAATTGGAAATAGAGTTCGTTCATGGTTTGTGTTTGTGTTATAATCAGATGTACACTTGTAAAAAATGGACTTTATGAAATAAGATTAAAAACACATTTGTATTTACTATCCAGAGAAGAAATGTCTTTTAAAGTCACTATCTTTAGGTTCAGTTTTGTGGATTTTATTTTGAAAGCCTAAATATAATAAACTAAAATGAAGTAGGAATAGATCTCACACACACACACACACACACACACACACACACACACGCACACACCAAAGAGGGGGAAAAATCTATGATTCTCATGTTTCTTTTCACTTTCTTTTTTCTTTCTTTTGGAAAGGTTTTTGCTATAGGGTACACACGCTCACCAGAAAGACAGAGAGAGACAGAGAGACAGAAAGCAAGAAACCACACCCCAGGGAGGATGGCCATGCCTCAATCCTTTCTCCTCCGTTCTCCTCTCAGGACCTTGAGCACACACACACATGCACCTGGCGTGAGTTTAAGCCACCGGGTCCAGTACTTGAACCACAGTGGACTACATTGGAGTCCAGTGACATAGCCATTACACCAACTGCTGGTCTCTCTTTTCACTTTCAAAGTAAAACAGACTTTTTTTAGAAGATTTTTTGCACAGGGCTTGTGTGCTTGCCATAGACAATGAGAGGGAAAGCGAGAAATCACCCCCTGGGGGGATGGCCACGCCACAATCCCTTCTCCATTCTCCTGCTGGGATTTTGGGCATGCATATAAACACACCAGGCATGATTTTCAAGTTGCCAAGTCTGAGACCGAAAATTGTGGTTGGCCATGTGAGAGTACAGTGTCTTAATCACCTTGCCAGCTGCTGGCCCCAAGAAGATTGTTTTTAATTAGAGATGAAGGAGTGGTTTCTGAAGGTCACAAGCAAGGAAGCCTATTTATGAGTCACTGGCCCAGTAGGGTAAGCAATTTCTTGTTCCAGTCTGGGTATAATATACAAGGAACTCAAAGAGGATGAGTATGGGTCCAAAAAAACATGGCCTCTAGCTTCACAGTTTTTATGCAATGACTCTCCTTGACCTGAAGACTATAAACTGCTACAAGAATGAAGCTCCTAATTAATATTAAAAATATATTGAAGATTTTGTAGCTGCATATTAACAGGAGTGATAATATATTATCAAAGTCAGCAAGAACTGACTTTGAAATATGGAGCAATTTCTTTTGAAAAAGGAAGTTACAAATGACCACTGAATGCCAGGGTTAATGACTTATAATTTGTGAATTCAAAGATTATCTTATATAAGTGGTTTCTATAAGAAATCAAGTTGCTACTTGTACCTTTTGGATATTTTCAGACACCATCAATTCAAAACTCTATAATAACTCAAAAATATCATGTATGGGTTAACAGAGGACACCTGAAATGATGAGTCTACCCTAAAAGCAAATGTACTTTAAAAAAATTTAACAATTTTTTTTTATTATTTAAATTTTCTATAGGGATGTATACTCACCAGAGAGAGAGAGAGAGATAAAAAAAGAAAAGTGAGAAAGCAAGCCACCAGGTCCAGGATTCAAACCAAGGTCAGACAGGTAGAAGTCCAGCACCCCAACCACTGTGTCAAATTCTGGCCCCATGTATTAAGTGCTTTTAAAAGTCTGATTATCAAAATATATTTTGGGGCCAGCAAGTGGTATGGAGTATTAGTGCTGTATCCCACATGGCTAGCTTTACAGTTCAAGTCCTGGACCCTGTGGCTTGAGATTCATGCCAGGCATATGTGCATATATGCCCAAAGTCTCAAGAGGAAAGTGAAGGGGGAACCAGCAGTTAGCGTAATGGCTATGTCGCTGGACTCCCACGTAGTCGACCACGGTTTGCGTCCCAGACCCGATGGCTTAAAACTCACGCCGGGCACGTGTGCGTGCTTGCCCAAGATCCCGAGAGGAGAATGGAGGAGAAGGGATTGCGGTGTGACCATCCTCCCTGGGGGGTGATTTCTCACTTTCTGTCTCTCTGTCTCTCTCTGTCTGGTGAGCGCACGCGTCCTATAGTGAAAAACCTCTCAAAAAAAAAAAAAAAAAAGAGGAAAGTGAAGGAAAAGAAACTGCAGCATGGCCAACTCCTCCCGGGTGGGGCAGTGGGTGATTTCTCACTCATTCTCTCTCTCTGGTGAGCACATATACCCTATCATTTCAGATTAGGAAGACAAAACTGTGACCCAAATAGCTTACCAGATTAGTTTACAGTGAAAAAACTCTTTGATATTTCACCAAGAAAGAATGATTTTAAAATGATTAGTCACAGACCATAATACTCACAATAAATAAACTCTGGATAATACTGAACTTTGTATATTTAATCTATAAAGAAAATTCTCTTGCCATGTGGGACCTCTAATAGGTAACAAAACATGCAAGAGGAGAAAACCCAAGTCAATCTGTAATGAAGGATTTTTAACCTGTTCAGTATTATTTCATGTGGACTTTTAAAAATGGGAAATGCAGAAATATGCCAAACTTCTGTCCAAGATCCTATTATAATTTAAATTAACTTAATATCTATTTTAGTTAAACTTTCAAGATGAAAACTATATATGCTGCACAAATAAAACATTTGGTAACATATCAATATGTTATAAGATGTCATTTGTATCCTGGCCAACAATATCTGCCTGGATAAGGCATACATATGGTCTCTGATATTTTCTAAGAGAAATTATTTAGAATGAAACCCTAGCTACATTTCTGTCTTTAATTTGACAGAACTGCTTATTTAATAGTTTGAAAAGAATTTCTGGGTAAAGAAGTCAGTTTCCATGCTTACTATAAATGCACACACTTACGCAGTTCACCAGCTGCATTTCGCCCACCGACTGCATACAGATATCCTTTGAGGGCACTTAGGTGGAAGAAGGTGCGCTTCTCATTTAAAGATGCCACTTGCATCCATTTATTGTATCGAGGATCGAATCTGAAGACTGTATCGACTGCTGTTTTTCCTTTTGTGTCATAATTACTCTGTCCACCGACAACATAGAGGAAATTTCCGATGACGGCAATGCCGTGCTGGTACCTTGGGGCATCCATTGGGGCCAAGGATTTCCATTCATGGGCCTTTTCATCATACATGCGCAATTCCTTACTGACAACCAGCTGCTGCCTCAGCACTCCTCCCAGTGTAACCAAATGAGTGGTGTCAGACCGAATGGCAGTCCTGTCTGACTGCATAACTGGCTGCATATATGGCATCATTTGATAATTGCTGGCTTCCAAAAGCAAATTCACACAAGTATTGTCAGTTCTCATGAAATCTACTGTTTGCACATAATTAATGAGCTCCTGCGGTGTCATCAGTGGAAATCGTATGTTCTTCATCAATTTTGCAGCAAAGTCCATCCGAGGCTCTTCCAGGCGAAGCCAGCGACAGGTAGCCTTAAAGAGCTCAAGTTCAGTGCAATGCTTAAGGCTATTACTGGAAAGCACAAAGGCAAGACGCTCAAAAGGGAGTTTCAAAAACTCCCCAGTGCTCAGCAATGCAGGAAAATTCTTCAAGACAAAACTGTTAACATATTTATCCACTTCTGTCAGATTGTAGGTGTTAGCAATCCGCCCAACTTCAACACAATTGTCTAAAGTGACCTATTAAGCCAACGGAAAAAAATAATTAAAACTTAAGTACTTTCATGACACACATCCCGATAACACAAATACTTGTTCTAGAATAAGAGTAAATGATTCTTTCTTACTGTCCATATAGATGCAAATAAAGATTCTTATCCAAATGAATCGAAGATCTAAAGATAATCTGCAAAGGATCTTTACCTACTCCAGTAAAAGGGTGACTAAATGAAAATGATCAAAGTCAGTAAATTAAAAAAAGTTACTCCAGAGTCCACTCTCAGTGGTGCAGAACTGGGATGACATCATCAACCACAAGATCAGATCCCAAGTGCACCTGAAAATACATCATGTGCACACATACCCAAGATCACGGTGAATTGGAGGGCTGTGGAGAGGATTGCTGCATCATAGTGAGTGCTGTACAGGTTATCTTTCTCTCTCTCTCTCTCTCTTCCTCTCTCATGTACTTTTTTGCTCATGAATAAAAATAAAGTGTTTTAAAAAGTTACTCTAAGAAACAGTGTTATAACTTGCCTATGACCAAAAAAATTACTTTGCTCTCCCCAAAACTCCCCCCCCAAAAAAAGGATAACATCCTTCCCAGATGGAAATTTTGAAACAATAGAGGGTTATTCTATTAAGCATTCAAGTCAATCTACTTCTCAGTCATGACTCTAGAAAGTACCACACAACTAACAGATTCACACAGTAAAGCTCTAGTACCCAATCCACAGATTTCCCTTTTATATAAACAGACATCACTCATTACTATTACTCATTTTGGTTCCATCAAAATTACTGCACATCACAAAAATAATTAAATAGGTGGCCATCAGATGATAGGCAGATTAAGGGGACTGGACTCCCACATGAACCAATCACAGTTCTAGTCTCAGACCTGGCAGCTTGCTTTCTCACTTTCCCTGTCTTTTTTTCTCTCTCTTGCTCTGTCTCTCTCTGGTCAAACTAAAATCAATCAATAAATAATGTTCAATAAAATAATTCTTTGAAAAATAATAATAATTAAATAGGACAGGGCCAGCAGATGATGTAACGGCTACATCGCTGGACTCCCCCATAGTTGACAACAATTCAAGTCCCGGACCCTGTGGCTTTGAACCCACGCCAGTCACGTCTGTGTGTGTGTGTGTGTGTGTGTGTGTGCCCAAAATCCTAAGAGGAGAATGAAGGAGAAGGGATTGTGGAAATCACCCCATTCTCACTGGGGGGGGGGTTATTTCTCACTTTCCATCTCTGACTCTCTGTCTCTCTGGTGGACATGCACACCCTATAGCAAAAACCTCTGTAAAAAAGAATAATAATAGGAGAATTGTTTCAAGGGTAATGTTATTTTACATGTTGCTTATCTGAAAGCGTAAGCAAAGGGATGGATTTCTTGATTGTTGAAATGGTGTATCTACATCACCTCACTCATAACAGATAAGTTTCGGGAATCTATGATTACAGCTTACATGTTGACAACAGAGTTTTCCTCAGCCACTCTCTTACTCTTAGCACACTCTAGCTCTGTCCAGAGTCAAACTGAGCCTAGAACCATTTTCTCAGTTCAAAGTAAACCATAACACAATGCAGAAAACAGACAAAGGAAAGTAAAGCAAATCTCCTTCCTCAGCAGGACCTCTTTTTCAATGCTCTAATAACCAACTAGTTAAAAGAGAAAATAGGAGGTGTTGACTCAATAGCATAGTGGTTAAGGGAGCTAGATCCTACATGACCCACCACATTCAAATTCCAGCCCCAGCAGCTTGAAAAACATCCTGGGCACACATGTGTGTGTACTCTAAATCCCAATAAGATGCAGAAATGTAGCAAGGGTTGTGGCATGACTATTCTCCATTGGGATTACTTGCATGTTCTCTCTCTCTCTCTCTCTCTTTCTGATGAGTACATTTGCCTTTGGCAATTGGAAAGACAAACAAAACAAAAAGAGAGAAAATAGAAAAATCATATCATCAAGAAATAAATCACAAAAACAAGCCTGCCATACAAATGTCAGTGTGCATATGGAGAAACACAGATATGGGATAGAGGCAAAGGACTCCAAATACTTTAAATTGTTTGTCAGGATGTATTCACAATGTTGCACAAACTTCATCAATGAATTAACTTCGCAACTGTCAATAGACTGGCAGATGGTTAAGAAACTGGTTGATCCTTCTACTGACATTTCATTTAAAAGCTGAAATAAAGCTAGTAGTATTACTCCTCTGTATAAAATAACAGCCCAGTTAGGAAAGCCCTAAGGTTCACACATAATGCATATGCAGTTCTTGTCACAGATTTAATACTAAGAAGGAATTTGGACTCTTTTAAGCAACTGATTTGCAAAAATCAAAATTTTGAATTATTCATACTTAGTAGCAATATAATAAAAAATACTCAAAACATAACTGTAACACAGAAAAAATAGGTAAATAAATGGACAAATGGACTTCTAGAAATACAAAGCTTAACACAGTTTCCATGGCTTGGATTTCTAATATGTTTTCATTTAGGAGAAAAATAGAGAGGCAAAGCATTAATGGGACAAAGCACTGTGGTTTTAACTGTTGAAGATATTTTATAGTTTTATCAACTGAAATAGGGAGAAATGTTCACCTGTTGAAATATTCACTTTGTAAGATAAATAATGTGATTGAATGTATAAAAGAAAATGAAATTAAAATAAATTAATTAATTAAATAATTTTTAAAAGAAAAAAATTAAAAACACAAAAGTATAAAATTATCTGTTGATGTGTCTGGCAATAACATTGACTGGACCAATATTCAGTGTTTTCATTCTGGGAAGATTCATTTTGTATGCTGAAAGATGTACAGTGAGTAAATAAAAAAATAAGAAAAGCCAATAAAAAAAGCCTATTTTAGTCCAATTTAGGAGTGGCAGGTTGGTGTCTCATAAAACTTCAGGTTGTGTAAACAGAGTTACAGTCAATACCTAATCGCCCAAATGACCTTGGGTTGAAAGCAGTCCTGTTTGGGGTAATGGATCAACTTCCCAAAGCAAGTAAGAAAAAGCCTTTCCCCAAAGCAAATGTAATTTTCACTTTTCAACATGTGAATTGGCATGGTTAAAAAAAAAGCTGATGAAAGCACAATATAATTCCCAAGCATGCAGACTAACATCACTATTTTGCAAATAATTGTTTTATCCCATTTTATTTTTCCTTATTATTATTATTATCATTTTTAATTTGACCAGAAATACGGGGGGGAGAGGGGTGGGAAGCAAGAAAGCAGATCACGAGGTCCAGGACTCAAACCATGATCGACCATGCTGTAGTCCACAGCCCCAACCACCACACCATCTATCATCCCAACATCATTATTGATAATGATTACTATTGGGTCATCGGAAAAGTCATCAAGTATTTTTGAATGTTTTTCTGGGGAAAACTGTGCCATGACTTTCCCAATGACCCAATATTAATAACAAAGAATTGGTACTTTAAATAGCCAAAATAACAGCACCAGTTGTTAGTCACCATATTTAAGTCTAAATTTATAGCATATAAAATAGATGAAGAAGAACGATTAGACACCAAACTGTATCATTAAGGTATGGGATCAAGATATTTAATTCCTTCCCCTTTTTACTCTTCAACTTTACCTAATAAGAAAAGAATCACTAAAACAAGAGAAAGAAGCCTACTTTTATTTAAGAGCACTTGAAAATACCTTTTATATATCATTACACTCATATGTACAGACACACAGAACTGATAAAGACTTTGATAGACCACCTAGACAGTATTTTTAATGGTATTTCATAACATTTAGATTTGCCATCTTCTCAACAGAATTAAAGTATTTTCTACAGCTTATGAACAGCCAGCTACCACATTGTGGATATATAACAAAGGTTAAATACTACAAATACCAATAACACAAAAATTAAATATGTGATGATAGATGCAATTAAAAATGCAATGTCTATTGAGTTAATACAGCAAAATATTGGAACCTTATTATTTTAAAAATGAGACACCACGAAAAAATATTTAACAGGAAATTAATTCTTATCAAATGCATGTTAATTAAGGAGAAAAACATTAATCACAGAATCTTTAACAGGAAATTAATTCTTATCAAATGCATTTTAATTAAGGTGAAAATCATTAATCACAGAATATAAAGATCATAGAAGTAAAGTCTGCAATAAGAGATAACAATATAAGCAGACTCAAAATGATGAAATAATGGTAAACAACTTTTGGCAAAATAAAAGATTAGTCTACTGTGGTTGATTCTAATCCACTTCTCAGTCAGTCATGATTCTTAGAAGTGCCTAAGCAAGCAGATCTCCAAACACTTAGCCTAGATAATATTTTTAAAAATGGATACATGCAGTAACGTATCATATGATATAATTTATGTACATAATAGAACACATTCACTTTGAAAATTTAGAATATTGAGTTTAATGCTTATTTTTTAAATTCCTAAGAAGAAAGAACTCCATTTTCATCTAAAATCATCTAATTTCATCTGAAAACTTCTCCAAAATTCTAAAGAAGGTACACTTGATAACAGAGTTATAACAGAAGTTAATCCGAATAATTATGTCAGCATTTAAAAGGATAGAGCAGCAAAAAATATCTAAATTCCTCAACCACATATGAGAACTTATAAAACTACTTTTAAAATAATCAAGTTCAGTGCTAGCCAGCGGTGTAGTGGTTAAGGTAACAAAGATCCCACATGACTATGCGGTTCAAGTCTTGGACCCAGTGGATTGATAAACACACCAGGCACGTGTGCATACAGGACTAAAACCCCAAGAAGAGAAAGGCCCTCCCCCTTGCAGGGGGAACTTTTTCACTCTCCTCTCCCTCTCTTTCTCTCTCCCTCTCTCTTTCTGACTCTCTCCAGCCAATTCACATGCCCTATAGCAAACTTAAAAAAAATAAAATCATGTCCACATTGAAGTTTTCTTTGTGTAAATTAATATAAATTATTCTAAAATAACTAAACAACCTTCATGGTCATCCTAAAAGC